TGCGTGCTCATGAATCCTCTCATTATAACACACGAATTGTAGACAATTGTAGACATCCATTCTGGAACAGCAGCAGTGCTCCTCTTTTTCCTCCATTTCAGGTTCTTCGTCTTTTGGAAGGGTGGGCACAGGGCAGCTCTAACTTCTTCTTGATCTAATAAAACATAATCAAACATACATTAATGTAACATGTAGGAAGCTATGGATGATTCGATGGATGATTCGATTTCTAGACCTCTTCTTTTACCTAACCCATGTCTCTTTTACCCCACCACTCTGTTCTTTTTCACCACCCCAAGTACAAACCTACACACACACACTCATGAACACACACACACACACACACTCACGAACGCACTCACAAACACACAGACTCACGAACACGCACACAAACACACACTCACGCACACCGCACACAAACACACACTCACGAACACAAACACTCACACAAACACACACACTCACACTCATGAACACACACACACACACACACTCACGAACGCACTCACAAACACACAGACTCACGAACACGCACACAAACACACACTCACGAACACACACACTCACACAAACACACACACTCACACTCATGAACACACACACACACACTCTGAACACACACTCACAAACACACACAATCACTCACACACACTCACACAAACACACACATGAATACACACACACACACACTCAATATTCTCTATAACAATAGACAGCCTTTCTGTACCTCTCCTGTTGCTGGCACGATTCCCTCTTCAGCCTCAAACTGCAGCTCTTCATCTGCTGAAAAGATTTAAAAAATATTCAAAACAATACAGTGTTTGTGTTAACAGACAAAATACAGTAGGTCCAATAAATATTATAATTAATAAATAACAAGTCTAACTCATCCAGATGCATCAGAATAATGTAGCTAACACTGTTTACTAGACTATACCTGTCCTGTCTGCCTCTGAGCTAACTTACCTGAAATGTCTCCATCACTGCTTTCATCAACTGTCCAATCCACATCATTCTCATGGTCACTAAATCCTATCTCATCCTCACTTTCATCTGCAGGAAGAGCCAGTTCTGTCCTTTTCTTCTTTACCTTGCCATAAAATATGGCTGTACTCACTGACATACTGTTACCTGTATTCATATCTAATCAAAAGTAATATTGCCATTTAAATTTGATTTTATCCATAATACAAATAGCATTAACATACGACTAATCAACATTATACCACTAGCATTAATGTTGTTATTGTTACAGCTTAAAAGATCACTCCTGACCCTGCTAGCTAGCTAAACTATTGCAATAATGTCATTCCACTACTGCACAGTGTTGCTGCTTGGCAACACATACATTTGATTGATTTACCAAAAACTTATTTCATAAAAACTTTTTTGAGTGGTGAATATGTCATCATAACTTACCGGAGGTGATGTTTCCGATTTTTTTGTGGATGTGACACGGGCTGATCCTTGTTTGATAATTACGTTTTTTATATCTTTCAGAAACTATTGACAAGAGACGGCAGTCTGTCAGAAATCTCGCCACAGAAAAAAACTGCATGTCATGTGACTTAACCAAAGCACATCATTGGCTAAACTAAGGTCTTCTCTTTCCAACAAAAAAAACGAGAATGCTGAATTAAAGACACAGTGGCAAGGAAATGAACACAAAGAGTATGTTGCCATATGGCCACACCATGCGGTAGAGGCCCAGATAGCACACGCACGTCGCGGAGACGTCTGTGCGATGTGGTCTTTTGCGTCTGGCAGATGTATATTTTAGGGCATTTGCTCATCTGGCATACGTCGCCGAGACGTCCCTGCCAGCTGTTAAGACGACGCCTAGCCTATGTATTCCAGACGTAAATAATTTAGAACGTCTTGGATCCGCTCTTTAAACGATGTTAATCAGATGTTCATACGTCTGCAAGATGTCTGATTGATGTAGGACAGACGTAATTTTATCAAAACTTCCCCCTCCCATTATTTTAATAAAATACCCTCGCAATATCTATAATAGTCCTCCCTCATGCATGTTACAATTACCAAACATAATCAATTAATAAACCACACTCTCAACTAATAGAACACACATTTGTTAATTTTATTAAAAAAAAAATACATTTAATAACAGGCAAAGAAAACATTTGATTCATACAAAAACACTATAACAGTTTATGCAAACAACAATACACTATTTGTAACATATATATACAGGCATACATAAAAAAATACATAAAAAGTTAAATCCTCCCTGGGGCCAAGCGTAGGAAATCTTTAATACATTTTTCCGCATCTGCTTCGGTTGGAGACAGAAGGACGGGATTCCTCATAGCTGAAGCTGTATGTTAAAAGAAACAATTACAAAAATGAAAACAGATTGAACAACCTGCTTCCACTTACATTGAAATGAACGTCAGATATTTTTTTTCTTTATCTGGTTCTTCTGAATAAATCGGACAAAGTTATCTAATTAGCATAAAGAACAACTAAAGCTGGTTCGCCAACTGCCAAAAAACAACAAGAAGAAGAAGACGCACGTGAACTACGCACGTGAGTTGGGGTGAGTCAAAGCTCTTCCCGCGTTATTCAACCCAACCATGTGCCGTGCTGTGCAGAAGACGCATCTTGGTTAGTTGCACGTTATTCAACCTAACCATGTGCCGTGCTGTGCAGAAGATGCATCTTGGTTAGTTGCAATGGAAGATTTGCTTAAGGTACGTGTATATTTTAAAACTAATTGTATTGTGCCTGCGATCGGTTTTATAATAACTTCCAAAATGAAGTTGTGTATCACCTGTTTGTTAACTAGCGAGTATACCATAAGTTGTTTCGCGTGCGTTTTGGTTGGGCAAATGGATTTCTAAAGGGTTTAACTGATGTTTTAAGTCTCATTTAAGTTTTTAACAAGTTATTATAATTTCTAAATATTTTTGTTAACGGCTGATGCCACGTCAGATTATGTTTGACCAATTTGAAACCTGTTATACATTAGTTGTACTGACTAATGCTGTAATGACAGCTCCGCCATTAATTCTATTGCTTGTATGTGTACAACATTGTTGAACTTGCCTATTAGGAGTGCTCCGATGTTTGATTTTCGGATCCCTCTCTTGTCACCTATTAGGAGTGCTCCGATGCTTGATTTTCGGATCCGTCTCTTGTCTCCCCTCCCGCACCAGTTCAGTTGCCTGGCGACGTCAGTGGAGAACATCTTGGAGCAAATCCTCCATACAGTTTCCTTCATGCTTGGCCCGCCACTGATGGATAATCTGTTCACCTTCAA